ATCATTAGCTCCTTCATCTCCGTCGGTGCTAATCGGTAAGGTGCTTTTGCAATTGGCGTCATTCCGGGTAACAACTCTATTCTGAACTCCACTTGTCTATCAGACGGTAATCCAGGAAGATCCTCAGGAAATACATCCGGATAATCACACACCACCGGAATACTCTACACCTCATTTTTCTCCTTCTTGGCATCAATCACGAATGCCAAATATGATGTACATCCTTTGGCCAAACACTTTCTGGCTTTCATTAGAGAAATGATTCCAGAATTTACCCTGCGTTTGTCCCCATACACCATAAATGACTCCTTCCCTGGCGGGTTTACTTTTACAATCTTCTTCTTGCACAGTATTTCGGCATCATTGGCGCTAAGCCAATCCATTCCCAGTACGATGTCGAAACCATTTAGTTCGATAGGCAATAATTCCTCGTGGAACTTATTCCCATTCATGTCGATTAAGATGTTTTTCATACGATGGCTAACAGGTACAAACTTGCCACTAGAAACTTCGACTAATAAAGCATTATCTAGTCTATCAACAGGCAAAGCTAGTTTTCTACCAAATTCATGCGATATAAAGGAGTAGTTGGCTCCAGAATCAAATAAAATTTGGGCAGGAAAATTGTTTACGAGAAAGGTACCTGAAGCGACATCAGCTTCTTCTTTAGCAGCTTCCAGTGTCATCTGGAAAGCTCTTGCTTTAGGCTTTGGGGGAATATTGGGTTTTGCTGCCTCCTTCTTTCTCGGACAGTCTTTCAAAATGTGCCCCGCATCATTACACCCAAAGCACACTCTCTTGTTGGACGAACACTCATTGGCATAATGCCCCGTCTTTCCACACTTGTAGCAGGTCACATCCTCGCTACATTTCCCATAGTGTTTTTTCTTGCACTTCTCACACCATTTCGATTCGCCTCCTTTTCCTCCTCCAAACTTTTTCGAATCAGACTTCTAAAATTTTCTTTTCTTGCTGGAACCTGAAGTTCCTTCAAACTTTCTCCTTTCACCAACTTCAACTTTACTGGCGGTTCTTCCCTTGATCATGTCCTCAACAGACTTGGCAGCCCAAATAGCTGCCTCCAGAGTAGGTGCCTGTCGTACTGGCACTGCATACTCCCGTGGGAGTCCCTTTGCGTATCGATCAACTTTCGTCAACTCGTCTGGAACGATGCGCAAGGCTAACTCCATTTTGTCTGTAAAGGCGTTAGTGTATTCATCAACTGACATGCTGCCTTTTGTCAATGTCAGAAACTTGTTCTCCAACTCCAGTAGATTTTGGGCCGAGCAGAACTTGCGCTTGAACTGCACCAAGAACTCTGCCCAAGTCAGTTGCAGTGGCTCATTAGGGCTTAGGGTCTTCCCCAGAGTGTTCCACCAACGAACAGCTCCACCCCTGAACTGACGTACTGCGAAAGTGGTCTGCAACTTGCCTCTGCAACCACACGTCATGAAGGCTAGCTCCATTTCCGAGATCCAATCCATAACTCCGATCGGATCCTCCTTTCCAGTGAAGGTCGATGGTTTGCAAGTCAAAAAGTCTTTGTACTTGCATCCAAGTCCATCAATTCCTCCTTCCTGGTGGTTTTGTCTAACTAACGGTGGGTTGGCTTGACCAACAGTCCCACTGAAGTTACCTCCTTCCAACTGCCCTTCACTTAATTCGAGCTGCACAATCGACATTGAAGGTTCTTCACGATTCTGCTGAAGCAGACGTCTCGTTTCTTCCATCTGACGATCCAACATCGTCTGAACCATCAATTGTACACCAGCCATTGTCATTGGCTCAGGTGCTGCTGCTACAACGGGTATTTGCTCAATCACTGGTGGTTGAGGCTGTTGATTCCTGTTTTCGTCTGCGTTTCCAATGCCACTTCTTGTTCTTGCCATCGTTGATCTATACACCGAATAAGGTGAATTTAGATCCTCAATCACGATAGATAATCAAATCATACTTATCACTCCGAAACATTTACATGCTAGTTCTAATAGCGTAATCCTACGCTTAGAATCCTAAACACATAAGCTTTCAGATCTAGTTGGCAACAAACCATAGATCCGAACAAATAATATCATATATGGCAAACATATAACATTTAGCACATAAAAACATTTTAGGCAACTTTCCTAAAATAAACTAGTGCTCGTGTCATAAATATAACAGACACTTATCTCTCAATCTTTACTTAGCATTCTAAGTTTAAGTCTAGAAATCCTACAAATTCCTAGTTCGCTTAAACTAATGCTCTGATACCAACTGTGACATCCCCAAAATCACGGCCAGAAAAGAGTGCTTTTAAAATAATTTCAGAGTAAATCCATTGATTTAAAAGAGTTGCGGAATTTGTCCCCAAAACAATACATGATAAAATAAGGTTTATCAAAGCATTTCTTAAAGAAATGTATTTTCATTATATATCAAAACTCGGGATGTCATGTTCCGGTACAGACACAAAAGCATAAACAATAAAACATAGACCTTACACAGTTTATAAAACTACTGGTCTATAAACAAAAACATCTTCACAAGTTCTCCAACTTATGCTCCCGCGCCACTACCTGTAATACAAAGAAACTGAGTGGGTCAGGCTTGGGAGCCTGGTGAGCATATAGGGTTTTCATCCCATAATAAATAATTATATTTAATTTCACCAACCAACAATAACCCGATTACCCATTCCCGTTATCCTCACTTTATGTCCCTATGACAACAACTATTACAAGGGACCTAATCTAGGATTTTCATTGGGACGGACACTACTGCAGAGGGGTTTCCTCAGCAATGAATGTCCTAAGGCAACCATGAGGGGGATAGAATACAGCAAATGAACACCCAAGTTCACCAACACCTACAGGTTATGAGCCTGCCAGCATTCCACAGAACTGTCTAGAAAAGTCCGTGGTCGTCATCCATATTCTGCTGAATGACCAGATCACAATCACATCGAGGCCTCTCATCATTTTATTTCATCACACAACAACTGTCTACCCATGTTCTACCCAACATATTAGTAGATAAAAATATATACATTTATATACATCTTAAAACCTGTACAAATCATTCATTCAATAAATTATTCAAATAAGCAAATAATATACAAACACATATCACCTATTTTGTAGAGAATACTTCGTATCTATGTGTTAGAAGAAAAGGAATATACACCCACTTGATAAGACGATGATCGGACAACACCTCGTCTATTAAAATAATATTTCCCGATAAAACCGGGACGTTTTCTCCAAAACCGGGCTTTACGCGGGCAGAGATTCGGCTCGGAAACTTTACTTCTCGGGATCTTCGGGGCTTCGGGACTTGCTTCGGGTCTCGGGAATAATACCGGGGCTTCGGGGGTATTTCTTGCACGCAAAACGAGAAAATATGGGAGAGAAAGAAAGATTTTGAGCAAAAAGATCGGCAGCCTCGCATGACCTTTTATAGGGGCTGAACCTCGCACGTACGCTGGGCGTACGAAGCTCTACGCGGGGCGTAGTTCGGATCAGGCTTCCAGGTGGCGAACTTCGGGTGGGGCGACGTGGCCTCTTCTGGACCGAGCAATGCAGCAGTACGCTGCGCGTAACCATCTCGTACCCAGGGCGTACCTCGGTGTCGACATGTACGCGGGGCGTACACCTAGTACGCTGAGCGTACCTTTCGGATTAGATCAGGTGAGTCAGCTCTTCGGATATTATCCGAATAAATAATTAAATTTATATATTTTAATTATTTAAAAACTTCATAAAATCATATCTTCCTCATACGAGCTCCGTTTTCGACGTTCTTTATATCCACGCGTAGGTGAGACTAAGCTCTACAACTTTCATTTAGACTCCGCCGGCTAATTTTGACTTTATTTTTATTATATTATTTTTAGTAGGCCGGGACAGGAAAACTCCGTTATAAAATCATAACTTCTTCATCCGATGTCCGTTTCCGTCTGTCTTTTTACCGTTGCACTACAATTAACGAGATCTTCGATTCTCGTTTAGATTGTTTCGACCAAAAATCACTCCATCTCAAATTCGAATTTTGGGTTGTCTACTGCTAAGTCGAAACTTCGGAAAATCATAACTTCCTCATACGAAGTCAGATTTGGGCGTTCTTTTCATGCACGCTCTCGGTTTAACGTAATCTACGAATTTTGTTTAGATCACTAAGGAAAAATATCGCTCTATCGATATTTCACTATTTACGTCGTACCGGTTCTGTCGCGAAACTTCGACAGATCATAACTTCTTCGTTATAACTCGGATTTCAACATTCTTTATATATTCGGAAACCTCGTCACGACCACTACGTCTTCATGCATTGATATTGGCTTTATCTAACATTTCATTTTCACGCTTATTTTTATTCTTAATTCATTTAAGCCACACAATTAAGCAATTAAGCATAAAACACATAATACTCAAATAATACATTTCTATTATTTCAAGACGGGTTACAAAGGTTAACCTAGACTATTACAACGACATTAATGACTAGCCCAGAAACACGGGCGTTTCAATTCTCTCCACCTTAGAATGATTCCTTCCCCGAAATCACGCATCAACAAACAAATGCGAATAGCGACTCATCATGTCACTCTCCGTTTCCCAGGTGAGATTTGGCCCATTCGTATGTTTCCATCGGACAAGCACTAATTCGTTCTTAGTCTTTCGGTCAACGATTGCCTCTGGTTCTTCATTTAACCTTTTGTTCTCATCAATACTTAACTCAGAAATTGGAATTATATCGGGAACTTCTCCCGTGAATTTCCTCAGATAACACACATGAAAAGTGTTGTGAATACCATTCAGCTCTTCTGGTAATTCCAGCTTGTAAGCTTGGTTCCCAATTCTCTGAAGAACTTTAAACGGTCCAATAAACCTTGGACTCAACTTTCCCCTTTTACCAAATATTATAAGTCCCTTCCACGGCGAGACTTTAAGTAAAACTGAATCTCCAACTCCAAGAGTCATCGGTCTTCTTTTCTTGTCAGCACACCCCCAATTAGAAGGATGGCTGGAAGACGCAAAGTAAAGAGAGTGAAGAATGCATCTGAATCACAAGATGCCAAATACCCCTCACAAAGGTTAAAGGTTCCTAGGACTGTGAGGTGTGGAAAGTGACAACAACTTGGGCATAATAAGATTTCATGCACAAATGATGAGGTACCTAAGCCCCCTGTCCCAAAAGGGAAGATTGGAAGACCTAGGAAAGATGGGGGAGGCCAACCTATCTTTGACCAATTCCCTCCAGTTAGGCCTGCTATACCAAGAAGGGATGCTGCTCCTCCCCAAGTTTCAGAATCTGGTGATCAAGATGGTGGCCCTGCTATACCAAGAAGGGATGCTGCTCCTCCCCCAATTTCAGAATCTGGTAATCAAGTAGGTGGTCCTGCTGTTAGTCCTATGGTAATGAGAGGAAGGAAAACTAAAGTGTCTAGATCAAGGAACAAAACACCAAAGAAAACACCTAATGGTAAGAAACATAAGAGTAAAGCAAAGGAGGATGTATCCCTAACCTGTGATGAGGATTTTAATGATCTTTTTACCCATACACCTAATGGTAAGCAACCTATGAGTCAAGCAAAATAGGATGTTCAAGAACAAGAGAATGACAATAAGGTGAAGGTGAATGAAAGACTTACTTTAAAGGAGTTGTTGCTGTCTGGATATACACATACTGATGCAGTGGCTACTATGAAAGAGGTATGTGTTGTTACACTATTTTTGGCTTTCATATTGTAGCTTTACTAACTAGCCTGCCATATTGTAGGTTTATGGAGAAGTTGAGGAAAAAGAGATTGAAGAAAGAGAGGTTGAGGAAGAAGAAGTTGAAGAGAGAGAGGTTGAGGAACAAGAGATTGAAGGCGGAGAGGTTGAGGAAGAAGAAGTTGAAGAGAGAGAGGTTGAGGAACAAGAGATTGAAGAAAGAGAGGTTGAGGCAGAAGAAGTTGAAGAGAGAGAGGTTGAAGAAGAAGAAGTTGAAGGCAAAGAGGTTGAGGTAGAAGAAGTTGAAGGCAGAGTGGTTGAGGAAGAAGGAGTGTAAGAGAGAGAGGTTGGATCAAGAGTGATACCCTTGGGTCATGGTTCTTATAATTTCCATTGGGAGGAAAATGGGAAACCCTCTGAAAGAATTAGGAAACTGAAGCTCAGGAAAATGGTTGAAGATGCCGATGGTGGTGGTTCTTCCAAAACCCCTTGGGTTTTAGATTAAGAATGGGCATTAGTAAATATGTTTCCCTTTTTATAAACTTCTAATTTTGGTACACTTGTCTTTTGGTAACAAGCTTTCAATTCTTGTCCATAATGTTTGGTAGAATTGGAAGTTTGGTTCTAATTAGGTTACATGGTATGGTAGTGGTTTGTGGGAAGCTTTGTAAAGTACATTCCCCTTTTTGGGCTGTTAACTGACATTGATGTTTGGGAAGCTTTGTAAATGACATGGTATGATTGTTAAGTTATCAATATATATGCCTTGATCACTATAATTGTTGTTACCTTCCATGTTTTGGTTAGCTTGGTAAGTAGGTTAATACATATGTATGTGTTAAAGGACTTAATTGTAATTGTTGTTACCTTCCATGATTTGGTTATTTTTATACATATGTATGTGTTAAAGGACTTAATGCATTGTTATCATTAAGACATAATAAGTTGTTGTCATTGTCATCTCTTACAAAACCAAAATATTACCATACATAACACATGCATATGCTTACTGCCTAACTTGACCAAAATACCCTTACACCTAAAACTACTACTACTACCATTCCACTTGAACCTAACTAATGCCCACAACTTTACAGTGCTTTAACCAGATCATTGTGAACCATAAACCTCATCACAATCACCACCACCAAAAGCATGACCATCATAACTAACTCCACCTTCAACAAGTTTAAAATATCCACTTAAACTGCTTTGTTGTTCTTGGCCTCCTCCGAAAGCATCAAAATCTCCATTCTAAATGCTTTATTGTTCTTAGCCTCCTCCAAATCCATATGGAACTTCCACATACTTTCCTTGTAGTAAGTGTTTGGCAGGGGTGGATCAAGCCATAAAAAAAATTCGCATTTTTTTTGGAGTCCTGCACAACAACCACTTCTTCATACTGGTTCAACAACACCACAAAAAGTAGGAAACTTAATATTACCTAATAGTTTGGACACCCCCTGAATTTCCTCCATGGATTATCGACGGTTTTGGAGATCGAGAATGTCGCATGTTCATCACATTCACATCTCAAATCTTCATACCCAACGATTCCTTAAGGCCCATTCTCTGTACCCTTGTGTGTGTGTGTGTGTTGGAGGAGCTTACCATCTTTTTGGTTTGACGTTGGAGAGAAGAATCGACCCAAAACCTAGCTAACAACTACCTCCAACGTTCGACTAAGCTATGCAACCTGCTGAAACCGGCACTGTGCCCTTTTGCCATAATTCCATGAAAATATCGTGGTCACAGTAAATGAAAAATTAAATTCAGGGCTTTTTCCAATTTAGTGCAAAAAACATGGGACTTTATTGATATTAGTCCTATTGTAAATTATATATATATATATATATATATATATATATATATATAATATATATTATATATATATATATAAATTGGGCTTCAAAAAATTGGGTCATATACAACTACCCATTTTGCCCAACTCAACGCTCTCATGATGATGTTTTTCCAACCATAAAAGGAGTTGTTATGCAAGTCAATCATACTTGTATCGAGCAAAACTAAAAATCTTCATCAATCACATTTGAAACATGTTTTAGATCAAAATTATATAAAGTTTAAGTTAACAAAATTATGATGCTTGATATATATAAAAAATTAAAACTTTAAATTTTTACTCACATGTGAATCCCATATATTTATTCATATTATGAATGTCAACGAACTAATCTTTTGTAGAAAAAAAAAAGACATATTGTATTATATATATATATATATATATATATATATATATATATATATATATATATAAGAGAGAGAGAGAGCTAGGTTCAAATGTTTCCTGCAACTATTGTGTGTATCAATGGACCAATCACAAATTAGTAAAAATTAAATTATTTATTAGATCAATAATGGCATTTTAGACCTTTTGTACTTTTAATTAATAGGGTCATTTAATGGAATTCCTGCAATTAATGAAGAGAATAAATATCTTTGACCTAGTAGCTCTCTTATATCTTCTTCAGGTTTTTGAAACCTTCGTTTCACACTTCCATCGTCGCCTACAACAACCATTGCCAACGCCCTCTTCCATCTTATCCTCTCTGTTAAGATTCATGGTCGGCCTAGGCATCCACGTATACTTCAGCCTGAGTGAAACGGTGACAAAAAGAAGGGCATATGGTTACGAAAACGCAACCACAATGACACCAAAAATCAGAAATTGATTCATCTATTTGGAATCTTGATCTTCTTGCAAGCAATTGGAGTCGTGCATGCTTGGATTGTTGCGGCTTGTGGAAACCGAAAAGAGTAATCTTGGACTCGTTCTCTTTTTATCTAACTTCTGGAAAGTTGTAAATTTCTAAAATTCTTATTTTTGTATTTCAATTAATGATCAGTGAATAGATACATTTATACAGAGGACTAAGAAACTATGTCAAGACACAAGAACTCAAAGAACGCATCCCACCCTTCTTCCTTGAGTTTCAATTAATGTTCCCCCTGTATGATATAGTCTCGATTAATGGGGGTATCTGACAACAATTCTCCCGGAATGGAAGATCAAGATGTAATTCTATCAGAATGGAATCTCGATTTTATGGTACAGAATCTCAAATTACTCATTAGTATTTGAAGGTATACACTCTTTTATTGTAAATTTAGTCACATTCATGTACTTATCAATTACATATGTTGTATGTTTCACCAAATGGAGTATAAAGATCTAAGCATCTGATTTTGCCTGCCAAGTGTTTGCTAAAATGCTTGAATCAAATATTTCAGCCAATTTTTTTTGTAATCTTTTAACTGTCATATCTCTCTCGCACTAGCTTGGATTGATTTGAAATCTTTTCTGCATATTCTCCTTTCTGTTAGCTACAAGTTAGGTTCTAAAGTCATTTTAATTGGATTAATAGTGGCTCAGTTATAGTCCTTTGAACATGGGATGTTATAGCTGTATTTTTAGCACTTTTACTTTGTTCAGAAATTTTTGTGATCGTTGAACTGCCATATCTCCCACATACTAGCTTGTAATAAGCTAAATTTTTTCCAACGTATTGTCTGCTGTGTTAGCTACAACGTAGTCTCTAGAATCACTATAATTAGATTAAGTCGATTTATGGATCAAGCGACTCGAGGATTACTTGACCAAGTGACTCGAGGATTACATTTTAGTAGAATACTTGATATTAAGCACTTGTTTTTTCTCTAGATAACAAAAAGCAATAAGTATATGTAGGATCAATTCTTTCTTTGTTTATATATCTAATCTATATTCTCAATTCATATAAGCAACAAAAAGGGAAGCTTTTTTTTTCAAAAAATTAAAAATAAAGAATCCAGATAAGTTTTGTAACAAAATTTAAAGAATCAAATTATTGATGTACATTTTTTGAAATAATTCATATATTCTTTTAGAATAGATGAGATTTATTCTATCAAAACTACCAAAGCTTGTTTTATTATTTGTCATATAAAATCATTCTCACAAAATGTTATTCTCACATAATTCGATTTTATGGCAGCTATTCTCATAGAATGCTTGATTTCATGGCAAATTTCTCATAGAATACGTGAAGGGAACATGATGATCAAAGGCTTGAAGGTTGGATGATGGTGTGTGATGGAGATGAACAATGGCCATCGGGAAATGAAGTGTGAGACGGAGATGAACAATAGTTGTCGAATGGAGATTATGAGAATTACTAACTCTAAAACAATGTATTCTTATATAATGTGATTGTAATGTGTTTTTTTGTTTGTTTTTGGACCCTGATTCTTGAACAAAGTTAATAATAAATGAGTATTCTTTAAGAATGTTGTTACTCTTTAAT